TTTCAACGTTTATTTATTTTTGGGACAGAGAGAGACAGAGCATGAACGGGGGAGGGTCAGAGAGAGAGGGAGACACAGAATCGGAAACAGGCTCCAGGCTCTGAGCCATCAGCCCAGAGCCTGATGCGGGGCTCGAACTCACGGACCGCGAGATCGTGACCTGGCTGAAGTCGGACGCTCAACCGACTGCGCCACCCAGGCGCCCCTCATGACCGAACTCTTGATTCGCCACCACAAGGCCTGTGGGAGGGCTGCCTTGGTTGCTCCCAGGCCTGGAGGCCACATGCAGGCGGGCGTCCCCACTGCGTCTTTTCCCATCATCCCCTCCTCACGGGGTACTCGAAGCGGCGACCGCGAGAAGCGCCCCGGGAGGCTCAGAATGAAACCCTCTCACCGTGGAGGCAGGCCTGCCTGAGTTCATCTCCTGGCTCTGCTGTGTGACCTTGGCAAGGCACCTGACCCTCTCTGAGCTTCGGTTTCCTCACAGTACCACTCGCCCTGGCTAGCTTCCGGGCAGTTCACGAAAGCCCAGCCAAGCGAACAGATTTGCAAAGAGCTTTATTAGTGCATACGATAGAATTATAAATGTATGCTGTTTGGTAGTGTTGCCCTGAAGCTTCCCCCACCCTTTCCCTCCACCCATCATATTTAAGTAGGTTCAATGCAAGTAAAACACCTTTGGGGGCCAAGAATATAAAATCCTGGTCGGTGCTCAGTTTAACCAAGAAACCATAGTTGTTGTTTTGTCTGTGTTTCGCCCCCTTCTTTCCTGGATTTCCTCCTCCTCTTCCTTTCTCTAGAGAGATGGCTCAGGATCCCACAAAATAATTGAAAACCAAGCTTATTAGCCTCAGGTTTGCAGCAGAACAGATGAATTTAATACGTTTTTGCTGCTTTCATATTGCACCCATGCAATTTTAGTTCTTTCCCTTTGCTGTTTATGAAAAACACCGAAAAATCATGTGCTGTGTGAACAAGCCCCGTTATTATAACCGCTACAGTTTATTGGGCACCTACTAAGAGCCAGTGTGTTTCCTAAATAACGTCGTTTAATCTCCCCAGAACCTCTGTGCAGGAGGGACTGTTATCACCACTTCACAGGTGGGAATACTGAGATTCAGAGTTGTTTGTCCAAAGCCACCCAATAGGTACGTAACTGGCAGAACCAAGATTTTAACTGAAGGCTGCCTGACCCCCAATTGAAGCTTTGTCCATTCATTTTCTTCTCTTGTTTTTAAAACTATCCTTACTGGGGCGCCTGGGTGGCGCAGTCGGTTAAGCGTCCGACTTCAGCCAGGTCACGATCTCGCGGTCCGTGAGTTCGAGCCCCGCGTCAGGCTCTGGGCTGATGGCTCAGAGCCTGGAGCCTGTTTCCGATTCTGTGTCTCCCTCTCTCTCTGCCCCCTCCCCCATTCATGCTCTGTTTCTCTCTGTCCCAAAAATAAATAAACATTGAAAAAAAAAAAAAAACTATCCTTACTTAAAAAAAATCAAATTAAAGTCTCTTTTATGCCTGACTTCCAATCTTTAGGGGTGGCCACCGTTACCAGTTTCCTTTGGGCCTTCTGGACCTTCCTGTGTATGTACGGACATATAGATACGCATATGCACACACACAAGTTTCTTCCCTCAGAAGTGGACTCACGATATGTGAGCTGTGCTTGCTTCCCCCCCTTAACTGTTCTCCAATTCGTGGTCATTTAGATTGTTTTAAATTTTTAATTAGAAACGAAGCTGCAATGTCTCTCTATGCACATCCGTTTCTGTGTGTGTGTGTGTGTGTGTGTGTGTGTGTGTGTGTCCCTGTCCAATAGAGCAGGATCACAGAAGTCAGAATGTGTGGGATCAGAACATCGGCACATTAAAAATTTTGATGGATATGGACAACTGTTCTCCATAAAGTATTTACTAAGTTCAACTGTGGCCAACAGCGTATGGCAATGCCCATTTCTCTACATCTTTACCGACACTGAATGTTATTCATGTTGATAAATGGTATCTTACTGATTTTATCTGCATGTATTTCATTAATGATGAGGGTGGCATCTTTTAAAAAATTTATCGACTGTATTTATTCTGTGAGTTTCTGTGTAGATCTCCTTTGACTATTTTCTTATTAGGTTTTTTTATTGATTTGCATGAGCTCTTTATATATTGTGGCTCTGTCTTTTGTTTCTTTGTTCTTCCTACAATATCCTAATTCTTTTCTTTTTTTTTTTTTTAATTTATTTAGTTTTGAGAGACAGAGAGAGACAGAGCACAGTGGGGAGGGGCAGAGAGAGAAGGAGACAGAGACTACAAGGCAGGCTCCAGGCTCTGAGCTCTCAGCACAGAACCTGACGCGGGGCTTGAACCCACACCACGAGATCATGACCTGAGCCGAAGTCCGATGCTTAACCGACGGAGTCACCCAGGTGCCCCTACCATATCCTAATTCTAAGAACTCAGCTTACAGTACGAGTGATAGAGCCAAACTGATTGTCAGAACTCCTGTGTCCTGACTAATGCCCTCTATCTGTGCCTGAAAATCGTATTTATCTTTAGCTCTGAACTACCCGGTCGTTGCTGCAGCCTCAATCATCAAAATGATAAAGACTTTTCGAATCTGTTCCATTTAGGTTTGGGTCCTACTTAGGATGGTTGGGCTTAGGTCAAAATTAAAATTAAAGTTAACTGGCTTCACGACTTAACCTGAGCTTCAGTTTTCTCATGTGTAAAACGGATGAACGCAGTAACACCACAGGGTTCTGGGTAACATACTTGTAAGTCTAATACTTGTTATATCCTTCCCCCTCATATTGTATCTTTTTAGTTTTGACTTTTTGCATAACTGTCTATTTCCACATGCGTCCTTTCCACCGGACGTGAGCCTCTCTCCTCTCGCCCATCTTTGTGTTCCCATGCCCAGCTATGGTCTCGGGCACCGAATGCCAGATGATCCCGAGTTGCCCCAACCTCAGCTTGGAACCTCTTCCTCCCTGAAACATATTACTTAGAATTGGGAATTCAACGCTTTTCTCTCTCTACACTTTGCCTGGCCAGTGATCTCTGCTGTCCCCTGGCTTCAGTGGCAGCTGGTGACCCCACTGGCCTTCACTCCAGCTGACTTCTCTGAGCTCCATGCTCTGTTTCCAGCTGGCTGGTGGAATGGTCGTGTCCAAAACCCAGGGATCAGCTGCTTCCCTGAGGCCTATTTCCTTGTTTTCCAAACGGCTGTATGTTAAGTTGTGTTCACGGAGCCCACAACTAGTCGGCCAACCTTCCTGTTTCCTATACTCCAAACCTGTTCTTCTGGGCTCAGAATGTCACCTTCTGGTCAATACCCTGTGCTTTGTATCAGGACCATAAAATGCAGGTCCCTTGTCGAAAATCCTTGGAGGACCGCGTTTCAGAATTCAGGGTAATGTTTTGGGTTTTAGGGAGGTGATCCAGCTTGTAGCCCGTGTGTCACATGATCTCCCTGTGAGGTTTGGGGAGGGGGGGTGGCCCAAAGTCACCCAGCCCAGAAGCCCAGCGGGAGGAGTCAAGCCTAGCAATCCCTCTCGGCAGCTCAGGCCGCACGGAACCTGGGGGAAAGCCTTTGATTTTACAGCTTCTGGAGTTTGGTGTCGCAGACGAGCTTCCAGATGCCTGATCGGAGCTGCCTGCTTTCCTATTTTCCTTGCTGGACGCTGGTTCCACGGGGCTGGGGCATGTTCCTTATTGCAGCTGGTGTGAGGCTGGTGCTCACAAGTCTGTCGAATGAATATCCCAAGGCTGGTGGTCCCGGGGATAAATAGTGACACCCTCTGTCAATCACAGAGCATGCGCGCCGCGTGCAACTCTGTGGATCACTTAACTATCGTCACACCCTGGGGGAAGTTACTGCTATTACCCACCGCCCCCTTTTTCCAATGGAGAAACTGAGGCCAGCATGAAGACCCAGGTCCGGGCGATTCCAAACCACCACTCTTCAGTACTGTCAGCCCGTCCTTGGCTTCATTTGGCTGATGGGCCTGGGACCTTGTCAGGCTGACCTCCTGCGGTCTCCTCTTCCCTGGAGGCTGGGGCATGGCCTTGGCTGAAGCCCTCGAGTCCTCCTTCTCCAAGCTCCAACAAGTAGGGGGGGGTCCCTTGCAGCCTCACGGCCGCCAGCCTTCACGGGCCCCCACGTCCTGCCGAGGGTCGCGGCACGGTGTGGGGACTGGCTCCTGCACTGTCGCCCTGCCCCGCCTGGAACGGTGCTCTGAGAGCTCGGCCCCCCGCACTCGCCCACCCCTTCCCGCACGGTGCACCTGCAGTAGCCGTTGATGATCCTCCCAGACACCACCTTCCGGAACGGCTCCCAGTGCTTGGCTTCTCCTTCCACAGGTGCTCCCAGCAGGACGACGTCCTCAATGATCCCTTGGCAGTCTGGGAAGAGACCCCAGAAAAGGCTGTCAGTGTCCCTGGCCACAGTGGGGCCTGGAAGGGGGTCTTCAAAGTGGCGGAAGAGGGGGATGTCTCTCTCTCTCTCTCTCACACACACATACACACACACACATGCACACGCAGTAGTGGGGGCTTCCAGAGTGTGGCCCAGGCCATGGGCTTGATCTAGTCCTGCAAAGCACCATTACCGCTATCTTATTTATTTTTTGAAAAAGATACTCTTTTATTTAAAAGTTTATTTATTTATTTATTTATTTATTTATTTATTTATTTATTTATTTTAATGCTTACTTATTTTTGAGAGAGACAGAGACAGCATGGGAGCGGGGGAGGGGCAGAGAGAAAGGGAGACAGAATCCGAAGCAAGTTCCAGGCTCCGAGCTGTCAGCACAGAGCCTGACGCAGGGCTCGAACTCACAAACTGTGAGATCGTGACCTGAGCTGAAGTCGGACGCTTAACCAACGGAGCCACCCAGGTGCCCGTTTATTTATTTTTTTTTGAGAGAGAGAGAAAGTGGGGGAAGGGCAGAGAGGGAGAGAAAGAATCCCAAGCAGGCTCCTCACTGTTAGCACAGAGCCCGATGTGGGGCTTGAGCTCACGAACCGTGAGATCATGACCTGAGTTGAAACCAAGAGTTGGACGCCTAACTGCCTGAGCCACCCCGGTGCCCATTAATGTTTATTTTTGAGAAAGAGAGAGAGAGGGAGAGAGCTGGGGAGGCACAGAAAGAGAGGGAGACAGAGGATCCAAAGCAGGCTCTGCTCGGTTAGTGCAGAGCCCAACGTGGGGCTTGAACTCCTGAACCACAAGATCATGACCTGAGCCGAAGTTGGATGCTTAACCGAATGAACCACCCAGGCGCCCCCCATTATCCCTATTTTAGAGTTAAGGAAAACTACATTTTCAAGATCACATGGCTGGCAAGGGACACAGCCTGTGTTGGGACCCAGATCTATTTCCACCACCCATGAAGCTCCCAGCCAGCCAGGAACTCGGAGGGGACGTCTTCCTTTAGAAGGGACGGGTGAGCCCTGGATCATCACACACACCAGGGGGGAGACGCCCACGCAGCAGTTCCCTGGGGCCTGTGCAGCGTGACGGGAAGGCAGGAGGGAAGGGAAGACGGGGCGACTGGGTCCCCAGGACATGGGATACACTCATCAGCTGCACTGACCAAATGGTTCAGAAATATTTTAGGCAGGGTTATTCCAAGTGCGATTCAGACCAGGGCTGGCCCATGGACTGTTTGTCCCATAAATACAGAAAGAGGGAAGAAGCATCTCCGCCCACCCCCCCACCTAGCAGACTAGAACCCGTCAGTTCAGAGCCAGCACACCTTGAGCAGCAGGGCTCCTGACCAATGAGAGGTGCACATGCGCCACCCCACCCCCACAGGCTCTGTCACTCTCCGTCCCTTACTCTGATGTGGTCTTCTTCTGGTCACCTACCACCTGTTGATGTCTGTCTGGGTTCAGTGAGGCCGGTGCTCTAACCGCCTCATTCTCAGCTGTACGGCAGGGTCTGGAACAGTGCCTGGCATATGCTTGGTGCTCAGTAAAGATCAGTAAAGATCAGAGTGAATGAACGAAGAGTAAATAAAGTGCCGTCCTCAGGAAGGCCAATATGTGCACTTTGTAGTTGCAAAGCCCTGGGTTAAAATCACGTCTGAGTTTGGGACTTGGGCCAGGTCACTTTTCTGAGCCTACAAGTGGGTAATGACAGTGGCCTTGAGGGTCTTTATAAGGGTAAGTCACAACGTGGGGAAAACCCAGCACAGGGGATGCACAGTGGAAATTAGAGTGCTCTCTACCTGCCCTGCGCTCCTGCCTCCCCACATTCAGCTCTTACGATTCTGAGTTTCTGCATGTCCCGGGAAGCTACACGCTCAGTGTCACTCCTGGGGCGTGTGCCCAAGAGGGACAGCTCTGCCCAGGGTGCCACTCTCCTGATGAGTGATGCTGGACCGGTGGCTTCCTCTCTCTGGGCTCCGGTTTCTTTCTTTCTTTTTTTAATGTTTATCCATTATTTAGAGAGAGAGACAGAGAGATAGAGAGACAGAGTGTGAGTGGAGGAGGACAGAGAGAGAGGGAGGCACAGAATCGGAAGTGGGCTCCAGGCTCCCAGCTGTCAGCACAGAGCCTGATGCGGGGATTGAACCCATGAACCATGAAATCACGACCTGAGCCAGAGTTGGACACTCAACCGACTGAGCCACCCCGGTGCCCCTGGGCTCCAGTTTCTAACCAGAGTGCTTCCAACTGTCTTCTGCTTGGGATTCCACGTCGGCGTTGGTCTGAATAAAGGGTTCCAGGCTAACAGGTGTTTGGGAACCCCTGTAGTACCAAGTGCTCCTCTGGCTCTGACGTTAAAAGATGCCATGGCACAGAATTCGCATTTCACTCCTTCTGCTTCCAGGGAGATGACAATCTGGCAGAAGGACTTACAACTTCAGTGAGCTGGGTAAGCATGTGCTGGGCAGGAAGCAGGCGCCCCTCGAGAGAAGGGCTATTTTGGGTACTTACATTGCTGGCAAGGCTGTGGAGAACGGGACTTTATTCTAACCCCTTCCCTTGGCAGATGAGGAAACTGAGTCTCAGAGGGGATGGGATGCGCCCAAGGTCATGCAGGTAGTGAGAATAAAGCTGGGACCAGAACCCAGACTGCGCGGGTCCTTGGGGCCGTGCTCTGTGCTGTTTGCACTAACGACACGAAGCACAGTGACCGCACGTGGGTTATCGTTGCTCCCACAGTGCCACACGGTTGTGGACCCAGGGCCGGAGCTCTGCAGCTCTCTCTGGGGGCTGGCCGCTCAAGGCACCTGCTCCGCCCTACAGCATCTCGCCTTCCCCCGAGGGCTGGGACCCCTTGTGGCCAGCAGCGGTAAGGCGGCATTCCTGATGGGCGGCTGATCCTGGAAGTGGCTACAAGAGAACTGTTAGGAAAAGCCAAAAAGCTAGTTCCCCGTGACCTTGAACTGAGACCGGTAGTTGAGCTTCATAAGACAGTCGCGGATGCGGCCAAATCGCGTCAGGGTGGGCAGTGAGCTGGAAACACATTTACTTTGTCCTCAGACTGATGCCACATCCAGGCATGCTCCTTCCCTTCTTCAAAGAGGGTCTGCTCGCGTTTCAACAATAGCCAAATTATGGGACGGGCCCAAATGTCCATCAACTGATGAATGGATAAAGTAATGAACATACATACAATGGAATACTAACATTGACGTGAAAAAGAAACGAAATCCTACCATTTGCAGCAACGTGGCTGGAACTTGGGGGTATTATGCTAAGTGAAATCAGTCAGTCAGAGAAGGACAGATATCCTATGTTTCCACTCATATGTGGATCTCGAGAAACTTTCTTTTCTTGAGAAGGAGCCATGGGAGAAGGGAAGGGGGAGAAAAGTTACAAACAGAGAGGGAGGGAGGCAAACCATAAGAGACTCTTAAGCTCTGAAAGAACTTTCTGCAGCAACCAGTGAGTGGGTGGGGGGTGGGGGAGAGGGGAAAGGGGGTGATGGGCAGGGAGGAGGGCACCTGTTGGGATGAGCACTGGGTGTTGTATGGAAGCCAATTTGACAATACATTATATTCATAAAAAATAAAAAATAAAGAAGTTTGAGAAGCAAAAAAAAAATAATAAGTAAATAAAGAGGGTTTGCTCTCTGCGGGGCTGCAAACTTGGTGACGAGCCGCGTGGCATGGCAGGCCCCCGGTAAGGCGCAGGCGTTAGCTAAGGGAAGTCGGCAAGGATAACTTCAGACCCACCCAAGGTAAACCCTCTACGCCAGGCCCTCACCACCTGCCCGTTCCTGGGAACGGGGACGGTCCAGGAGGGAAACCTGGGGCGAGGAGAAAGAGGCCGCTGGCTGCTATAGGAGATGCTGCACAGGAAACACGTCAGATGTCATTGCTCAGCCCCAAAGCCTGTAACACCAGCAGATTTCATGCTTCCAGGCAAAACAGAGAAAATCCTCACTCAGGAACTATTCGAGGGTCAAGTCGTGTCTTCACTGCCTTTCTGCAGGGACAATGAATGTTTGCTGAAACACGTTTGGATTTACTCCTCTCGCAACCTCTGCTTCTCTTGCGAATTTTTACGGTATGAAGATAGTTCTCTGGCTTTACAAATAGACTTCTGGGGCGCCTGGGTGGCTCAGTCGGTTGAACGTCTGACTTCGGCTCCGTGATCTCATCGTTCGTGAGTTCGAGCCCCACCTCGGGCTCACTGCCGTCAGCACGGAGCCTGCTTCAGATCCTCTGTCCCCCTCTCTCTCCCTCCCCTTTTGTGTGCACATGCTCTCTCACTCAAAAATAAAATAAAACATTAAAAAACCCCCAGGGGCACCTGGGTGGCTCAGTCGGTGGAGCATCCGACTTCGGCTCAGGTCATGATCTCGCGGTCCGTGAGTTCGAGCCCAACATCAGGCTCTGTGCTGACAAGCTCAGAGCCTGGATCCTGCGTCTCCCTCTCTCTCTGCCCCTCCCCCGCTCATGCTTTGTCTCTCTCTCTCTCTCTCTGTCAAAAATAAATATACATTAGAAAAAAGAAAAAAACCCAAATAGTCAGACTTTTAATATAAAGGAGGGCAGGGATCCAACATGCGTTCAGTGACTCTCCAGTCAGGGGACGCAGGCTTTCTAACATTTAAAGTTTTCTGTATGATACTAATATCCTGCTTTGTTAAAGCTGGAGGCCCTCCACCCTGTTATAACTCTGGCGAGAAGGAAGCTCTGAGCCTCCAGGAGTTCAGAAAGAAGAGCTTTGCCAGTCATGTCTTACCTCCCTGCTTCTAGTCCTTTCTGTCACTCGCAGGTGCGGCAAAAAACATTTCCTTCCCACACTTTCTTCGTTTCCACCTCTTATGTTTATTCTTAACACGGGAGCCCAAGTGATCCCTTTAAGCGCAAGTCTTAGGCACAAGGCATCTTTCGGGGGTGATGGAAATGTTCTAGAATCGGGTGGCGGTGATGGCTGCACGA